CAAACTCCATTGTGAGGCTTCCATCATTGATGTCAATCTTGGTTTTTGCCATTTTAAGGAATGGACGTCCTAGCAATATTGGTGTAGGACTTACTGAATAACTATCCTCCATATTCAAAATATAAAAAACAGCTAAAAAAATCAAGTCATTAACCTGCACAAGAACATCCTCAACTATCCCTTCGGGATAAGCATTAGAGCGATCAGCTAGTTGAATAATCACACCAATTTTCTTAAGAGGACCCATGTTAAGGGATGCATAAATTGATTGTGGCATAACATTAATAGATGCATCTAAATCTAACATGGCACACTCAAACTTGGTGTTACCGATTACACATGGAATAATGAATGTACCTGAATCTTTACACTTTTGAGGCAACTTACATTGTATCACAACTGAAACATTCTCCATCACACTTAATTTTTTATCCCTTTGTAGCCTTCGTTTTGATGTGCAAAGCTTTTTAAAAAATTTGGCATACCTTGGGATTTGCTTGATTGCATCCAAGAGTGGTATGTTCACCTCCACCGTCCAAAAAGTCTCAAGAATTTCTTTTGCTAGTTCCTCCTTCTTTAATTTAGCCAATCTTCTAGGAAAAGGCAAATGAATTGAATTAGTAGACTTAATTGTGATAAGTAGAGAATTTACCTTTAATGAAGCCTTTTTTTCGTCTTCTATTCTTGTATCCTTGTTGTGTCTTGGCCGAATTGGATGAATTTTGAGTAGGACCTGCAATTTCTTTTCCACTTTGCAAAACAAATAGCACTCACATTCTCTCTAGGGTTAGTAACAGTTTGAGAAGACAAATGACCCAAGCTTTCATACTTACTGACTGATGTTGCAAGCTAACTTATTTGTTTCTCCAAATTCTGAATACTAGTCCGCGTCTCATTCTGGAATTGTTGGGTGTTATTAGCCAAAGCCTTGACAATATCTTCAAGTGATGGATTCGGTTGTTGTCTCTACTGATATTGCGGCTGTAATTTATTAAAATTGGTTGGATTTTCATACCACAAATTTGGATGATCTTTCCATTCGGAGTTGTAAGTATCGGAGAACGGATCATATTTGCGTTGTTGCTGTTGTTCCACAAATCCTCCCATTGCATTGACTTGTTGTCCTGAATCTTCCTCTTGCAAAGTAGGACACATGTCTGTGGAATGACTTGTCAAAGTATAAATTCCACATGCTTTAACTGCTTGCATGTTACCAACAACCATTTGTCTCACCAAAGAAGTTAAATGAGAAATCTATTTTTTAAGGTCAGAAGCACTTATCTCGTTCACTTTCTTTGGTGTGTGATCCATTCTCATCCCAAATTGTTGCGAATTCGCAGCCATGTTTTCACAGCAGTTGGTGGTTTGTCAACCAATGCTCCTCCACTAGCTACATCTATCATACTTCTTTCCATAGGCAGCAATCCTTCATAGAAATATTGAATCAAAAGTTGATCACTTATTTGATGATGTGGGCAGCTCGCACACAGTTTCTTGAAGCGTTCCCAATATTTGTACAAAGACTTTCCGTTGTATTGATGAATGCCACATATCTCATTCCTTATGTTTGCAGCCCTAGAAGCGGGAAAGAATTTCTCCAAGAATTGCTTCTTCATATCAGTCCACGAATTGATGGAATCAAAAAGGTAGGTAATACAACCAATCTTTTGCATCATCCCCCAAAGAAAATGGGAATGCTCTCAATTTAATTTGATCTTCATGTATACCTTGTGGTTTCATGCTTGAACACACTACATGGAATTCCTTTAGATGCTTGTGAGGATCTTCACCTGCAAGACCACGAAAAGTAGGCAAAAGATGAATTAGTCCTGATTTCAATTCAAAAGTTGCATCTAAATTAGGATATTCAATGCATAGAGGTTGAGCAGTAAAATCGGGAGCGGCTAGGTCCTTCAAAGTCCGTGTATTGGCAACCATGTTGTCCTTTTCCTCTTCCGAATCACTAGATGCTAACCACTCGAGAGCAATGTTAATTCCTGATGAAGAGTTCGATGATACTTGCTCGAGTTCAGCTTGTTTCACTTCTCTTCGTAGTCTGTGGAATGTCTTTTCAATCTTAGGATCAAAACTCAATTCACTTTGGTGGGAAGATTGAGTCATAAACTAATTAAACAAAGATAATAGCCTTAAGAACAACTAAGATTGAATAATAAATCACCACTAGCGAAGAACTATTAATCCAATTTATAATTCCCCCAGACTAATAACAAAAAGTTTGGAAAACAACTGCATAATCTGATTGCTACTATAATCAAGTTTCAAGACAATTATAGATCAAGAACTTAATCTAGCATTCATCACATAGAACATCAATTAGTGTGCACCTTAAACAAAAGAATTTTGTAATCTCATCAATAAATTAGAGAACCACATCATTCGAATAGAATTGGATATTGCAGAATTAAACCAAGTCTCACAGAAATCATATACCAACTTAAAATACCTTGAACCGAACAAAGGAAATGAGCTGCGCATAATATAAAAATTGTTGTGTCCCCCTTCCTTCTTCTACCGCCTCCTCCTCTCCCTTTTCTCCAGGAAACCTTAAATACATATAGAAAACATATGACACTTCTCAAAACGTGTACAACTCAAATCCCTACATTATAGGTATTCCTTATCAAAATAGATTGACAGAAATCACAGAAATCGTGCTGGAACGTGTGAGCTGTTTTTCTATCAGATAACGACTGAATCTTGATTTTGGCTCTTGATAAAAGTTGTAGCCCTGGATGTGTAGATAAATTTTGGATTTTGAATCACCTGATTTCGACTTCAGAAACTCAAGTTATGACCCACTGAATTTTACTGGTTCGGACCGAAATCCAACTCCAATCAGGATTCGGATCAGCTTTCTAGGCTTGACCTTGAAACAATGTTTGGAGGCCCAAAAGAACTCGGATTTTTTCAAACTATACCTTTCTGAAAAGCCTAAGACGTCCTCTAAAAACTTTATGAAGACCACTTTCTCATTCTGAAACTCTAAAACCATCCAAACCTCAATTGAAGCTCTATAGATCAAAATTGTCTAAAAGCTGAAAATTGCACAATGTATTCCATATCTATTCTTTTACCTTCAATGCTTCCCTAATTCAATAAATATATTAATCAGCTCACTTAAACATAAAATATGCCATCAAACTAAATATAAAGTAATTAAAAATATTAAATATTATGCTCTTATCATCGAAATACAACACAAATTCTTTACCAATCAGGTAGTGTTCCCAATGTTTCAAAGTTTGAACAACTGCAAAGAACTCTTTGTCGTACGTCGACCATTTTTGCCGAGTCGCACACAACTTCTCACTGAAAAATGCTACAGGTCTCTTCTCTTGGGATAAAACAGAACCAATACCCACCCCACTAGCATCACAATGCACTTCAAATTGCTTATCAAAGTTTAGTAACACAAGCAACAGGGGCAATACTTAACTTCTCCTTTATCACTACGAAACTATAATTTGCTCCCTCATCCCAATTAAATTTCCCTTTTTTCAAACACTCTGTAATAGGCGCTGTAATGCTACTGAAACTTTTTAAGAACTGGCTATAGAAGGTTGCCAATCCATGGAAACTACGGACTTCACTAACTGTTCTTGGGACAGGCTAATCTCGAATGGCCCTCACTTTCTCTTCATCCACCTGTATCCTATCAGAGCTAACTATGAAACCCAGAAATAGCAACTTGTCTATCATGAAGCTGCATTTCTTAAGGTTCACAAATAATTTATTCTGTTGCAAGACTTTAAGTACCTCACGTAAATGCAAAAGATGTTCCTCTTTGGATTTACTGTAAATTAGGATATCATCAAAGTAAACAACAACAAATCACCCAATAAATGGCCTCAATACCTAATTCATAACACGCATGAAGGTGCTGCGTGCATTACTTAAACCGAAAGACATAACCAATCATTCAAACATCCCATCTCTAGTCTTGAAAAGTTGTTTTCCACTCATCTCCTAGTCGTACATGGATTTGATGGTAACCACTGCGCTGATCAATTTTGAAGAAGACCACTGAACCATGCAATTGATTGAGCATGTCATCCAACCTTGGAATTGGAAACTTGTACCCCACTGTGATTTTGTTGATTGCCCTGCTATCCACACACATACGCCAACTACTGTCAACCTTAGGTACCAATAAAGCGGGAACTGCACATGGACTCATGCTCTCCCGTATATGCCCTTTTTCTGGTAACTCTTCTACCTTTTCTCACAATATCTCAGTCTCCTTTAGATCATCCTATAATGAGGCAAATTTGGCAAACTAGCTCCAAGAATTAAATCTATCTGGTATTGTATGTCTCTCATTGGGGGGAGTCTATTCGGCAGTTCATCTGGCGTAAGATCACGAAATTCAGCCAACAAAGGCTTGACTGCATCAGGTACAATAGCTCCCTTCGACTTCTCCTTCATCACGTGCTTCAAAACCATACAAAACATATTTCCTCGTTTCCTTTATATCTGTCAGTAGTTCCTTGCGGGTGTGTGCTATTGTCAGGAACACCCTCCTCTCCACTTTAGAAGCTGTGGGTTGGGCATTTTTTTTTCAGTGGCAGCAAAGTATATCGTACAACATCTTTCTCAATTCGGTAAATATTTTCTCTTCACGAATGTTACACATTAGTGCCATACTGCCATGGCCTTCCAAATAAAATATGACAAACATTCATATCTATGATATCATAATAAACAATATCTATATATTTGTCGATTGAAAACAGGACCTTACAACACTTAGTTACTTTATTTTCGCTAATAGATTTAATCCACCCAATTGAGTAAGGTGTAGGATGCTTCTCCACAGGTAAATGCAATTTCTCAATGACCTCCCTATTAATAATATTTTCTTGGCTACTACTATCAATGAACAAATCAAAAGTCTTACCAAGAATGGCACATCTAGTCTGAAACAGTTTGTGGCACTATTTTTTTTCTGTCAGTTTTGGAGACAAAAACAACTTCCTCACCACGTACACTTGTTCTTCTGCATCATACTCGTCATCTTCTCCTTCAGCTTCACAAACGTTTTCATACTCCTCATTATCTTCATTTTCATCATCAAGGTTGACGATGCTCACGGTACGTCTTCGACAATCTGCCGATGTATGTCCTGATCCGTTGCACTTATTACACTTATCCCTATAATTTTTGGCATAGGGATTATATGTTTTCTCCTGCACCATCGACTGCTTTCCTTGTGCCTTTTCAGTCATAGCCTGATCAACACGTGGCCGTCCTTTATAATTTTGGGGAGTTTGGAAAATAGGGTTTTGTCGATTGTTCCACCCGTGACTCTTATCCCCAAAATTTTGTCATCCTTCAGAATAATTTATGCAAACAGGTTCAGGACGAGGTCTCTCATGTAGTATAATTTCAGCCTTCAAGGCCAAATTCCTAGCTTTTTCAACACTAAGTACGGTCTGCACTTCGATTTTCTCTTTAATTTTACATTTCAGTCCCTCAAAATACCTAGAATCTTTCATAATTTCTGACTCCTGTAATCCAGTATGTTCCGTTAGTCTATGAAACTCTGTTGTGTACTCATGGACGGATTTATTGCTTTGACGACACTACTGTAATTTATGAAACATGAGTTGTTCATAATCCAATGGCAAGAATTGTTCCCTCAGCATCCTTTTTTTCCCACCCCATGGTGTCATTGGTACTCTTCCTTGTCTTCTTCGAGTGGTCTGCACATTCTCCCAGCAAATACTGGTAGCCCCCTTTAGCTTGTAAGACACCAATTTCACTTGTTTATCATCTGGGGTTGAAGCAAAATCAAAGAACCTTTCTACTTCATATAGCCAGTCCAAAAACGACTCAATATCAAGAGTCCCATCAAAAGTGGGAAGATCCACTTTAATTCAAAAATCCTGATTTTGGCCCCTAAGATTGTCTCTAGCCCGGAACTAGTTACCACGCACCATAGCCCGATGATCAGGCTCCTTATATGCACCAAACTCCTCCTCATCATTAGAATCCTCTCTCCTACGTTCCTGCCCATGCCCCCAACGGTTGATACGTAGATTGTGATCCCTGCCAGTACTACGATCATCATCTTAACGCATGTTGACCCTAACAGCTCCAATCCTTTCAGTTAGCACATTGACTGCTACTGCTAAATCACCGGTACTAACTTCTAGCCTATTTATTCTACCAATTAAGGTCCCGATTGTGGCCTCTAGACTCTACAATGCAGTCTAGATGATCATCATCCTCTCGTCGTTACAAGGAGGTGGGTTGCCTTGCACACGTTCAACAACCATCAATTCATAGGTTAGAATCCTTGCTCTAGCACCAACTGACACAACGAAAGGCTAATAATGAATAAAAACAATCACATGAATTGAATATATGTAACTTTGCAATCACAAGAATTCACAAAGTTGGATAAATTGACTAAGCAGCCACAATATTTATAAAATCAAATAATAAGAGTTAACTAAAACACATGAAAAATATCCTTTAAATATTAAACAATAAGTTGGAAATCCTAATTACGCAATGAATAATTAAATTACGAAATAATCCAAATAAACCCAAAACTGAAAAAACTTTTAGAAGAACCAAACACATGTTTCTAGGCCTTTTTTGGGCTTTTAACAACTCAATATCCATCCCCTCGTCGTAAACTTTGATTTAATGTATTATGGGTCCCATAACTCCAAACAAATCAAAAGTTATGATCAAAATAATGTCAACCTTTCTTAGACTTGGATTTCCTTCCTTTCCCTACATGGACCGTGTCAAGATTATAAGCATTATTAATTTACTGATTTTTGTTGTTGTTGTTTTCTAGTGTTGTGAGATATTTATGTGCAGTTGTGGTTTTAGTGTTGATTTACAAAGCTTTGGCTTGGTTTCCCAAAGTTTTGGTTTCTTTGGGCCCACATCCTCTTAGATAGAGATCTTCCATTTTATGATACCTCATTTTCCTCTTAGCTTTCTCCCATTTAATTTGTTTGGTTTCAAATTTTAAATATATATTCGATCTCAAAAATATTATCTTCAACCCTTACTCAAATTTAAAATTGAGTAAAAAAGTCCCAAAAATTTATTTAATCTTTGATTCAAACTTAATACCAAATCAAGAGAAAAAATTTTTGGAAGCAAATTGAGAGAGATTTAAACTCTATACCAAAATTCAACGGTAACTTATTCTCTCCACCGCCCTCTTTTTTTTTTTTTGTGGAAAAAATGTTCTTCTTTCCTTCACTTTCTCACTTCAATGCCTCTCTGTTAGGAGGAACGACAAAATCAACTATCTCAAGGTAATCTTTTTCCTATTTCATCTCCTATCTTTTTCCCTCTTCATCATTGACTATCTCAAGGAACGATGACATCGGTTACCCAATTTTTGTTTTTTTATAAACTCTAACCTTATCTATCGAAGTGTAGAATGATGACATACGAATGAATCTTTCGTAGATATCGAATTTGTGGCCCTTTTAATTGTTCATAATTTGTAGCTTCACATTGTTGTATGAGTTATTGGTTTGCTTTTGGGTGGATACTGTGGAAATTTTGTGAAAGATTTAAATAAATATTTGAGTCTTTCTATTAGAATGATACTCCCTCCGTTTCTAAATATCTGTCATTTAAGGTTTTTGCACAGGAATTAAGGAAGCTATTAAATAGCTCTAATATGAGTAAAAAATAATTACACAAGGCTAAAATACCCTTATTCAATACGTATTGGAAAAGAAAGGAATATGAAAGATACTTAGCCTACACTTAATCTATTAAGCACTTATTGAAAAACATAGATAAGGGTAAATTTGGAAGAAAAAATATTAATTATGCTTTGATTTCATTAAACGACAGATATTGTAGAACAAAAAAAATTGTGTAAAACGACAGATATTTAGGAACGGAGAGAGTATGTACTAAATTAAGAGTTTTACTCGATCTATTAAAGATGCTCTTATGAAGTGTGGTTAATCGCTATATTATCTATCTTGATCATTTTTTGTTTTTTTTTTCTTTCTTTCGATAGTGCCCATTTTAGGTTTTCATGGGATGTAATGTGCCAAATTGGTACGAATTTTTCTGACCAATTCCATGTCTTGGGTATGATGATTTTCTTACCACAGTTGACAAAAACTGATGGGCCAGGCCCAAAGGCCCAACCCATGTTATAAGTCTGGTTCGAACTAAAGGCCCAATGTCAAGAGATCCAACTAGTCAAGCCCAAAGGAGTATACATCCGGATAACCTTATCAAGATCAAGGAGCTGCAAGAAACATGCATGGTCATCCAAGAGCCTCCTCTACCACCTTAGAATAAGGGTCATCCAAGGGTCTCTTCTACCACTTTGGAGTAAGGGTCATCCAAGAGTCTCTACGCCACCAAAGAAGTATCCAGGAGCCTTACCCTCACCACCAAGGGGGCATCCAAGAGCCTCACCCTCGCAGCCTGGAGAGAGTCAACCTCTCTCATCCTTGAACAAGTCATTTGGAGAGCACACCAACCGTCACACCTCGCCCATTGAGAAGATGATAGGTTGCCTCCGCCAGATCAGCTACCTAATTACTATCAAATGGTCCTAAGCCATTATGACCGTCAGACTAGTCATACAATTACTATACCAAGCCACTATAAATTATAAGCTCCCCCAACACTTGGGGGGCATCAGACTCATTTGAGCGTAATTCTCTCCTCCCCTCTCAAAGCTTGTAATCATGTGTTCTCCCTCCACACCGGAGATAATAAAATTCCGACGAACCTAGCCATTCAAAGTGGACGTAGGTCATATTGACCGAACCACTATAAATCTTGTCTTCTCTCCCCTTCTACTTACTACATTTTATACTATAACTTGACTAGTGGTGTGCAAACTAATTTGTGCATCATCAGTTTAGCACCGTCTATGGGAACGACAGAATTCTCACCTAACCATTTTCCTTTGCTCAATCAAAGTCAATCACCACAAGAACCATGAGTCAGCAGGAAGACAGTCTAAGAGAGGAGGAGGTTGCTCCTCAACCAACCAATACTACCCCAAATGAGCAGTAGATGCTCGAGACCATGCAGCAACTTGCGGCCCAGAACCAACAGATCCTACAACTAATGCTCCTTGGGAGTCAAGGAGTTCTCCACATGGGCACTCCTCATCTAGGAGGAGGAGCATAGCTTGTACCTCAAGTCAGAGGAGCTCCACGTCCTGGGCGTCAAGGAGCTCCCCACAAGGGACCTCCACCTCCTCTTTCAGCTCCCTCTTTTCATGATGGAGACCCTCTTTTCCAAGAGGACGAGGGTGAAAACCAAAGCTTGGAGCATGAGAGTCATATCCATAGTAATTCCAAGGGATCTCCTCCTAATCAATGGGACAAAAAAATTAAGGAGGTGCAGAATCAATTGGGTGATGTCTTCAACGCCATGAAGGCACGAGGACCCGAGATAGTGGATTACCTTGTAAGTCGAACTGACTCACCTTTCAAACCTGACGTGGCGAACTACCCACTCCCTCAAATATTCAAGATGTCATCCGTCGAAACCTTTGATGGTACGAAGGATCCATTGGACCACCTTGAAACTCTTAAGACCTTGATGCAACTGCACAACGTCCCTAACGAAATCATGTGCAGAGCTTTTCCAACCACCTTGAAAGGATCAGCTTGACAGTGGTTCGCCAAGATCACCCCCGCTTCCATCAGCTCATTTGCTGAGCTGAGTAGGTCCTTCGTGTTGCACTTTATTGGAGGACTCCGTCACCAGAAGCCTGTCACCCACCTACTCAGTATAAAGCAGGACCGAGATGAGAGCTTGCGAAGCTACCTCACTCGTTTTAATGAGGAGGTCCTTCAGGTCAAAGAACCTGATGAAAAGTCAGCATGACCACCTTCTTAGGAGGCCTTCGGTCATCGAGCTTCCTTTTCTCCGTGATGAAACGCCCACCAAAGAGCATGCCAGAACTATTGGCAAAAGTTCAAAAATTTATGAATGCTGAGGAAATCAACAGGTCCAGGCGAGGTGAATCATCTCACGGATCGCCAAAAGCTTGACCTGTCTCTACATTGTTCTTAAACAGATAGTCTATCTCTAACTTAGCGGCTCTCTTGAGGGTCGCCAAAAAGCTTGGCCTACCTCTACACTGTTCTTAAACAAGTAGTCTATCTCCAGCTTAACGGCTCTCTCGAGGGTCACCAAAAAGTTTGGCCTACCTCTACACTGTTCTTAAATAGGTAGTCTATCTCCAACTTAGCAGCTCTCTCGAGGGTCACCAAAAAGTTTAGCCTACTTCTACACTGTTCTTAAATAAGGTAGTCTATCTCCATATTAACGGCTCTCTCGAAGGTCGCCAAAAAGCTTGGCCTATCTCTACACTGTTCTTAAATAGGTAGTCTATCTCCAGCTTAACGGCTCTCTCCAAGGTCGCCAAAAAGCTTGCCTACCTCTGCACTGTTCTCAAACAGGCAGTCTATCTCCAGTTTAGAGGCTCTCTCACGGGTCGCCAAAAAAGCTTGACATCTGCACTGTTCTCAAACAAGCAGTCTATCTCCCGGCTCTCTCACGAATCGCCAAAAAAGCTTGGCATCTGCTCTGCTCTTAAGTAAGTAGTCTGTACCTCAAGCTTAAAAACTCTCTCATGGGTTGCCAAAAACTCTATCTCAAAAGATGTAGCTCTCTCACGAGTAATCCTCAAACTCTATCTTGATCTCGCGCAAGCAGTCTGCCTCTCTCTTTCAGGTAATCATGTTAAATATTTTAATATTTGGAATAACATTATTTTTGTCATCTCTAGCCAGGATCTTGAAACTCAGTCGTCTGCAACCTGAGGGATTACCTTAGATTGAATGTCAACAATCGGGGCCTCATCCATCTAGCACTCAACGCCTGAGATGCTTGGCCAGCGGCGCCAAGAAGTGCATGACCCCCTCTATCAGCGTCTGGAGGGGCGCCTAACCCTTTGTGCTCACCCAAAAATGGTGCTATATGGCGCTTGCACACCAAGACCAACCCTCTTTCCTCCACCTTGCTCGCCTGGATTAGCGACTAAGGCATACCCATACTCGCCCAAAGCATGATTGCCTAAAGGACTGCCCAACACAATAGGAGCCTCCCTGGTTTGCTTGCCCAGATCACCAAGGCTGCCTAGACCGCCAGGCTCACAAGCAACCCGTTCACCCAAGGCCTCCATTGCCTCGCCAACATGGGTGCCTAGCCCTCGCCCAGTAGCCAGTCCTACGGGCCATGCACCTCCATCTCTTCTCTAGGGGACAACACCAACATTTCCAAGTTGCACACCAAGATTTGCAGACCTTAGCACATAATCTCCACCATTCGACATTGTTCGAAAAAAAAAAAAAATTTTGCTTAGGAGGTTGTATGCTCGCCCAGGAGGTGGCTTGCTCGCCAAGGAGGTGGTCTGCTCGCCCAAAAGCTGGTTGTTCACCCAAAAACGTGCCCCTGGCTCATTGCTCGTTATTTTGACCGTAACTTTTGGTCTGTAACTCAAAATGGGGCTTATTATATACCAAATTGAAGCTCTCAACGAGCTGAGCAAAACTCATTACCTTTGGTAATGAGCTTTTCAAAAAAAAAAAAAGTCTAAAAAACATTCAGAAAGAGGTGTTTTGGCCTCCCGAAGTTTTAAAAAAAAAAAAAATTTGCTGCTCGCCCAGGATGCTACCTGCTGGCCCAGGAGCTCTCTGCTCGCCCAAAAATGCACGCACAACTCTTTGCCCGCTATTTTGACTGTAAATTTTGCTTTATAACTCAAAATGTGATATATTATATACCAAATCGAAGCTCTCGACGAAATTGAGCAAAACTCATTACCTATGGTAATGAGCTTTTCAAAAAAAGTCCAAAAAATGCTCAGAAAGAGGTGTTTTGGCCTCCCAAAGTTTTTTTTAAAAAAAAAAAAAATTTCAACTCGCCTAGGAAGTTTTCTGCTCACCCAACACAGTATGTGCTCGCCCAGAAGTGGCCTGCTCGCCTAAAACATGCACCCAGCTCCGGCTCGAAGTTTTGACCGTAATTTTTGCTCCGTTGCTTGAAATGAGGCTTATAATATATCAAATCAAAGCTCTTGGCGAGCCCTAAAAGATTCATAGCCTATGACTATGATTGATGCTGTTGAAAGTCCAAAAAAGGCCTACAAACAGATGTTTTGGCCTCATGAAGTTTTTTCAATTATGTCGGTCAGCCAAAAATTCAAATTCAACTTAAATGCCATCCTTTTCAAATTCTGTTGGACGCAGGGCATTGAGGGGCAAATGATGGGTCAGACCCAAAGGCCCAACCCATGTTATAAGCCTGGTTCGAGCTAAAGGCTCAATGTCAAGAGATCCAACTAGTCAAGCCCAAAGGAGTATACACCCGGATAACCTTATCAAGATCAATGAGCTGCAGGGAACATACATGGTCATCCAAGAGCTCCCACGACTACCTTGGAGTAAGGGTCATCCAATGGTCTCCTCTATCACTTTGGAGTAAGGGTCATCCAAGAGTCTCTACGCCACAAAGGAAGCATCCAGAAGCCTCACCCTCACCACCAAGGGAGAGTCAACCTCCCTCATCCTTGAACAAGTCATTTAGAGGGCACACAAACCGTCACACCTCGCCCGTTGAGAAGATGATAGGTCGCCTCCGCCAGATCAGCTACCTAATTACTATCAAACGGTCCTAAGCCATTCTGACCGTCAGACTAGTTATACAATTACTATACCAAGCCACTATAAATTGTAAGCTCTGCCTTGGGGGGCATCAAACTCATTTGACTATAATTCTCTCCTCCCCTCTCAAAGCTTGTAATCATGTGCTCTTCCTCCACACTGGAGATAATAAAATTTCGACGAACCTAGCCATTCAAAGTGGACGTAGGTCGTATTGACCGAACCACTATAAATCTTGTCTTCTCTCCCCTTCTACTTATTGCATTTTATACTATAACTTGACTAATGGTGTACAAACTAATTTGTGCATCATCAAAAACGAAAAAGGGAGGAAAGAGAAAGAATAAAAGTAGATCCACGGGTGCGAGACTCAAGTTTTAAAAATGAATTATAAAAGAATAGAGATAGAATCGAAAATGGGATTTATGGTAAGAGTATTTTACAAGATACTTAACTAAAAAAATGTATTACGAATTACTAAATATGAGACTATAGAAGTGCATTCAATCGTCAAAAGAAAGAATTTGATTGAGTATCGACGAGTTAAAGAAGTTAGGCTAAAATACCAAATGAAAAACAAAATTAAAACAAAATTCAGCTTTGCTGTTACACTCTCAACATTTTCATATGGTCAAAAAAATCTCTAAGTATAATTTTATATTTGTTTATTTTTTTCAATTAAAAAAAAGACTAATTTTTTGATAATTAAAAAAGAAAGACAATTTAATACTCAATTATTTTCAAGCAATGTTGTAGGGAGTTAATTTGGAAATTAATTTAATGTAACTATTGAAGTTCAAATATTAGATGAAATATAATATCAAAATTTAATAATTATATTGAATTAGGTCTTTAAATTAAATATTAGATTTATGAATAAATATTAAATATAACATTTACACCACTTCACCATTATTACATGGTATAACTGTCCCATACTTGTTGCATTTTGTTACATGGTATAATAGTATATTATTCTTTTTTTAACATAATAATATAGACGTGGATAACCGTTACCTAATATTTAATATATGAATAATATATTATAAATTTAAAAATTAAACTTAAAAAATAACCTTAATAATTACATTATATTTATTTTTATTAAGATACAAATTCAGCCCCAACTTTGCGTAATCTCTCACTCTCTCACTCTCTCACAGACACACACACAGACGCCATGGATGATGACACAGGCAAGAAGAAGTTAATGAAACCCACTTCCTAGCCCTCCAAAACAACTTTTGGGTTCTCACATATTAACCTGAAAACAGCCCAGAATGAACTCTCCTCTCTTCTTCACCACCACCGTAATTTTCTCTCTCGTCTTTTCACTCCCCACCTCCTTTTCAGACCTTGCCACTGACCGTGCGGCCCTCTTAGCCCTCCGCTCAGTCGTGGGCGGCCGAGCTCTCCTCTGGAACCTGTCGGAACCCACCCCATGTTCATGGTCTGGCATCACCTGCTCTTCTAATCCACCTATCGTCACTGAGCTCCGCCTCCCCGGAATGGGTCTTTCCGGCGCAATCCCAATGAACACTGTCGGAAATCTGACCCACCTCCGCATCCTTTCTCTGCGCTTCAACTCTCTCTCTGGCCCACTTCCCTCCGACATTTCCTCTCTCTCCGAACTCCGTAACCTCTACCTCCAGGAAAATGCATTCTCTGGTCCAATCCCTGCCTCTCTCTCTGTTCTCACTAATGTTGTTCGCCTCGACCTTGCCAACAACAACTTCTCAGGCTCTATTCCTTCTTCACTCAACAATTTGACCCGTTTGAGTACTCTTTATTTACAAAATAATAATCTCACTGGGCCAATTCCTGACCTGAATTCCTCCAGTTTGGTTCTGTTAAATGTTTCAAACAACCAATTAACCGGTCCTATTCCTTCAAGGTTTTCAAGAATGCCCACGAGTGCATTTCAGGGTAATTCTCTTTGTGGAGGTCCACTATTATCTTGTGATGGTACTGGAAGTGGGGGTGGTAAGAAACTATCTGGTGGTGCAATTGCTGGAATTGTAATTGGATCCGTACTTGGGTTTTTGTTGATTGTTGTGATTTTGGTGCTTTTGTGTCGTAAAAAGTGGAGTAAGGAAGTAGGATCTAAGGGTAAAGTTGCAATGAAGAAGGGAGATCCTGAAATGCCTCGCAAAAAATCGATTGAGAGTGGGGATAGGGATAGTTCGAGTAGTGGGTTTCCAGCAGTGGCAGTAACAAAGGGGAAGGGTGGTGGTAATGGTGGTGGTGAGGGTAAGAATTTAGTTTTTTTTGGGGAATCGGTTAGGACTTTTGATTTGGAGGATCTGTTGAGGGCGTCTGCAGAGGTTTTGGGGAAGGGAACATTTGGGACGGCGTATAAGGTCGTGCTGGAGGTGGGGACGGTGCTGGCAGTGAAGAGGTTGAAGGATGTGGGTGTGCCGGAGAAAGAGTTTAGGGAGAAGATTGAGGTGGTTGGAAAGATGGATCATGAGAACTTAGTGGCTCTCAGGGCTTATTACTATAACAGGAATGAGAATCTGCTTGTTTTTGATTATCTGCCTGTGGGAAGCTTGTCTTCTCTTTTGCATGGTGAGTAAGCACTTATTTGCATTCTATTTTCCATTTGTTTGCATTTTTGTTCAAACTTTACTTTGTTCTTGTGATTTTAGTTCATTCTTTCTTTGTGAATTCTGTTTAGACACTGGCCTTTGATTATGTGCTGGTTTATGTCACTTGTTTTGGTGTGTTGGCATGTTTTTTCCCCCACATGGCTACTTCCTCAGAATATGTTTCATCATTATATGTGTAATGTGGGTTTAGAAATTGATGCCAATGCCTACTTCACAGCAGCTACAATGATCATAGCCGTCCCCACAAACATAAAAATCATTCGTTGGACCACTACCATGTGGGGTTAGGGGTCAATACAATATAGAATACCCATGTTATATGCGAGTCTTGTCATGATCAGGGGTGAAAGAGCTTTACAAATGGCATTGCCTTTCTTCACTCTGTGCAATATAGTTGTATATGGTTTTGCCCATTGTCGAAGATTCCCTACTATTGTCCCTCTACTGAATCTAGGTTCTCTCTCGGTCCTAGTGTGGCTGATCATCTACAAAACTTAACATGGTAGGATTGGCTTGGTCAGCCTTAACCAACTACCTAACACTATACTAGCTCATCAAACAATGCTTTTTAGTTCCCACCTCCATATGTGGAATAATCTTGGCCTTCTTTCCATCTTATTGTCTATTTCTTGGCCCTATTTTCACTTTTTCTTTTTGTGGATTGCTTGGCTTTCTTCTCAACTTCTGAGGCCTTTATTCACCTCCTTGTCAACTTTTTGGTCAACTTCTTGACCTTCTTGTCAACTTTGTGATCTTTTTACCTTCTAATCAACTTCTACCCCTTATTTTCAATTTATTGCTTTTTTTTGGCCTTCTTTCCACCTTATAAACCTCTTGACGTTTTCACATTCTTATCAGTCAGCTTCTTGGCTTTCACCTTATTGTCAACTCTCTGATTTATATAAGAATTTAGGAAACACGGATATGGATATGATAGGATACAGATATAATGATACGATAAAATCCCAAAAAATAGAGTACGGGTATGACTGGATACGTTTATAAATATATATATTTTATATTTGTATTATTATATAATGATTTGATAGTTATAAATTTTATTGGTTCTTTAATAATAATAAACAAAAATAACAATTTTTTATTTTCAAAATGTTATTTATCGTCTCACTATGATACATCTATAAAGTGAACATAATTAATTAAAAAAAAATAGAACTAATATTTAACTAGATTGTTTGCTTAGAAACATTTGTTACTAAGATTATAGAATAATTAACTCATTTATACTCTTTGGAGTTGTTTGGTTGTCGTATTGTAAAAGAATATATTATATTAGGTAATATGAGCTAATTCCATATAAACGGATAAAATATAAGATTAAATATGAGACAGAAATATTATGTATTGTAATCTAGTGTTTGGTAAGACACTGAATTATGAGTGAGATAAATATTACTTTATAACATATTTTTTAAAAAATAATCAATATTATCTAGTTATTAATGTTTTTGTTTATCTGTTGGGTAAAATAATAAAGTTATAACTTAATATGCTTAAATTGGACTGTAGTACCACATCTCCAGGTGGTATTATAATCGATTCAATAGTACGGATAAAATTTATTATTTGGATAAGTATTTAAAATAAGATTATATATAATACAGAGTAGACTCGTTTGGTTGCCGTATTGCAAAGAATAGACTGTATTAGGTAATATTGACTAATTCTATATAGGTGAATAAAATACAAGATTAAATATGTGACAAAAATATTTTGCATTATAATCTAGTGTTTGGTAAGACATTGAATTAAGAATGAGATAATAGAGTAGCAACTACATATTGGTTAAAAAAACTATCAATCTTGTATAGTTATTAATATTTTTGTTTTATCCATTGGCATAAAATAATAAATTTACAACTTAATACGCTTGAATTGGACTATAATACCACCTTTTCAGGTGGTATTATAATTGACTTAATAGTACAGATACAATGTATTATTTGAATGGACAGTGTATTATTTGGGTAAGAATTTGAAATAAGATTATATATAATGCAAATTATTTTTTGCAACTAAATGTATATAATGTTAGATCAGAGAGTCTTAATCTGTTATGACTTTGTAACCCACCCTTTAATACTGCAACCAAACGACCCCAGTGTTTTTTACAACCAATGCAGTATAAGGTTGAATAAGAGAGTCTTAATCTGTTATGATTCTGTAATCCACCTTTTAATGCTGTAACCAAATGACCCATTTGGACATGTGATAAATTAATGTATAATACTTCGAAACACCCATGTGTCTTCAAAGCCATATGAATTTTTATTGAAATTACATTGTATGTGAAATCAAAAGGAAGAGGTAAAGATTAAAACTAAAAATTACCCATAGTTACATTATTTATTATTAGATACGTATGGTGTTTACCTGATATATATTATCGAGTATCCGACGATACGTTGACCTTAACGAAGTATCAACCATAATCCGATGGGCACCAAAGACCTTTAACTTTGTTGCTTCTACCTAACTTACCATGCAAATGGAGGGTTTCACCTTGTCAACTTCTTGGTTATATATATATACACAGAGAGAGAGAGAGAAGAAGAAGAAGAATCTGAGGCATGCTACCTCTCGTAAATGTTAGAGAGAGAGAGAGAGAAAACAATTTGAGGTAGCATTGTGAGTTTTTGATGGTGACATAGAGTACCTTCCATAAATCTTAATCTGGTTTATAGCAAAAATCTATATAATAAAGTACAATACAATTCAAATCTCAAAAGATAAACAAAATGATTTTTGTTTTTCGTAGTTGAGAGTTTTTTAAATTTTATTTTAAAGTTAATCTGATGGCTAATATTAGCATCTCAAATTCAATAGGGGAAATATGTCTTAAGGGTGTGTTTAGAGTGACTTTTTAAAAGTATTTCTAGAACTTATAACTTCTCATAAATATTTAAAAAAAAAATTATATTTGGAACTGCCCTACCGTCACCATCACTGCCCCACCACCATCACCACCACGACCACCGTTGCCATCTTTGCCACAACCACCACGACCAATGCTGTCGCCACCCCACCACCACCACCATCGTCGCCACTCAATCATCACCTTTGCCATAACAACCACCACCACCACAATTGCCCCACCAACACCATCGTCGCTGCCACTACTACCACTGTTACCAACCCACCATCGCCGCTGCCACTACTACCTCCGCCTCCTCACCACAACTATCACTATCCCATCATCATTCCTATGACCATCATCCTCACAACCATCACCATTACCACCATTACTGCCATCCCCCCCCCCCCCACCACCACCACCACCACCATTATCGCCGCTGCCATTACATCCACTATCACCACCCCCAGCACCGCCAACAACATTGTCACTTACCACCGATTACTACCACCATCATCCACCTCCACCACTCACCACCATCGTTATCTCATTTTTATATTTATTACAACTACCATCATCATCCCACTATTACCGTTGCCCATCATCAGCATCCACCACAACCATTCGTCGTCCACCATCGCCTCTAGCCACTGTCACCCACACCCACTACATCTACCACCACCATTCGTCATCGGTCATCACTGTTGCCACTTACTGTCACCCACCCCCACCACATCTATCACCGCCACCAACACCGTTCATCACTGTTGCCACCTATTGTCACTCACCCCCACCACATCTGTCACCGCCACCACCACCCATCATACTGTTGCCTCAAAACACTTGTCACTGCCCATCACCACTGTCGTCACTGCCTACCACCACCGTCTTTGCCCCATCATCATCACCATTACCAACTACCATCATCGTCATCCACCACCATCATTGCTAACACTATCATTGTCGCTTACCACCACCACAACTATTGTCACCTATGACTGCCACTGTTATCATTGTCATCCAAAACCCACCACTACTATAACCGTTGTGACCCACAGTTGCCACCGCCACCACAGTCGTCGTCACTCACCACAATCATCATTGTTTTCCAACACCACCACTGTCGTCCACCACCGCTCACCACAATTACCATCAGTGCTTAAATTTCTTTTTTTTTTTCTCCTATTTGTTTGTGATTTAATTTTGAATACGAATACAAATATATTCATTTCTTCATCAAATTGCAAAAAGATTTGACTGATGGAAACACAAGGTATAAAGCTATCATTCTACTTGGTTAGGGTGCAGTGTCCCTAATCCCATCCTGATATATCCACAATTTAATGTTTATTGGCTGTCAACTTACAAGTAGGGCTCTCATTATATTCACGGAAAGGCTTCCAAATAAGAGAAAGAGAGGGAGAGAGGGGGGGGGGGGGGGGTTAGCACAGTTAGATTTGTAGAGAACTTGTTTCAAGATTTTCTTACATCCCATTTAGTACCAAAGTTGTGATTTATTGTCGTCGTTGCTGTAACAAAGCTTCCATTCTGTATCAATATTTTTTGATTTTATTCTTCTTCCGTCTCTCACATTTGTATGGGTCATGGTTGTGTCTACACTCCACACCTACAGACTCTGTTTCTCCAAGTAGTGCTTTAAGGAATAGACCAAACAAAGAAAAACGTTTTGTGCTCTCATTTGTCTGCTATCATGTTTGGAGTCAAGTTCCCTTTATATACCGCTTTCATCTGCTGCCATGCCATTACGTGCATGCCAGGTTCCTGAAAATGTGATATATTGCATGCACAATTACATAGCATAGTGCATTGCACATAAACTTCTTGGACTCACAATCCAATTGAAAAGAAACCAGCCATGGAACAAGACCCTTACCCAGATTATTCTATTTGATCCCATTTTTTCTCTTTCTTGATTACAGGGAACAGAGGATCTGGAAGGACACCATTAAACTGGGAAACAAGATCCGGGATTGCTCTTGGAGCTGCCCGTGGGATTGCATACCTCCATGCACGGGGCTCGAGTGTCTCTCATGGCAACATCAAGTCATCAAATATTCTCCTCACTAAATCCTACGAAGCCCGTGTTTCCGACTTTGGACTTGCTCAACTCGTTGGTCCCTTGACTACTTCCGTCCGTGTTGCTGGCTACAGGGCACCAGAGGTGACCGATGCTCGTAAAGTCTCCCAGGAAGCTGATGTCTACAGTTTTGGTGTACTGCTACTGGAACTGCTAACAGGTAAGGCACCCACTCAAGCCCTCTTGAACGAGGAGGGGTTTGATCTTCCGAGGTGGGTGAAGTCTGTGGCTCAAGAGGAGTGGACAGCTGAGGTATTTGACCTTGAGCTCCTCAGATATCAAAATGCCGAGGATGATATGGTTCAGCTCTTGCAACTTGCTATTGAGTGTACTGATCAGTACCCCGATAAGCGCCCTTCAATGGCTGCAGTGACAAACCGTGTTGAGGAGCTGTTTCGTTCGAGATTACAGCAAGAGGAAGACGAGAGCAGTGATATAGTCCATGCTGCCGAGGAGGGGCGGCGGGATTACTCTGTTGATTACAGTGCACCAACACCTTCAGTGGGAGATTGAATTAAAATCTGCACTTATTTCATTATTCTCTTATTTGTACCCTATTTTTTTAGCCAATGCCGTTTGGTGATTTGATTGTTCGTTCATTCTTGGTGCTTTTCTTTTATCAACCGTCAATTGTACTTCTTATTTTCTTTCTGCTGTACATTTTCTTCTGCAGAAACATTTTCCTTTTCCCCCCTCTAGTGTCAACATTGAATGTAACATTTTTCTTTGAACCTATTTATATCTTTTTTTAAAAACACTCTGGAAAAATAGAAATTGGCTCTGTCGTTTCCCATGTATGATGAGACCAAAAGGTGTTCACAATGATCCTGTTTCAGCTTTGTCCATGGATTAGCAGGAAAAAAATAATGAATCATTTAAAACCATAGAGACAGATTTACATTTGTGGAGAAGCAAATATATCATCAGTCGGATTGGTAAGCTATTCGAAGGTGACAACACTCAGATTCAAAGGAAGAAGATACTTCAACACAAAACAACAGTCAATAAGCAATGAATAAAGCAATAACAGAAGTATTCAAGTACCACACAGAGATCCCGACTGCAGCTGTAGAGGCAAGAACTTTTCACCATGAAGGACTAACCACTGATTCAGCTTATCAGGCTCAAGACTTATCTAGAACATTCTCTGTTCTACCTTGACCAATTTTTAATCACACACCAAGTAGGGGGAATGAAAGCAACTCCATTTTCTTATTTTGCTGTTTTCGAGTGTTTGATGAGCCAATCAATGACAACATCTATGTTTACAGAATCCTTGCATGAGATCATGTAGCAGCAAACTTCTCTGTCTGTGATTGAGTTAAGACCTCTAAGAAACAACAAGAACAAGAACAACAACAACAAATGTGAGGAGACTGAGAAGGTGAAAGCTTCCATCAAAGACTGACATTGGTCTAGGTTAATGCAAACTTACAGCTGATCCACTAGTGCCTGCTTGGAAAGAGCTTCCGATTTGTCGATTTTGTTTCCAAGAACTAGTAAAGGAATCTCACTCAATGATGGTTTATTTAAGAGGTCATGTAGCTCACTACGAGATATGGGAACACTGTCTCTATCAGCAGCATCAACTACATATCTGTCCATGAAGCCATTACATTATTCCCATTGCAAAGCAAATCAAAGGTAATTTGAACTGCTTGAGCTATTTAGTCTTTTCAGAATTCAATATCAGGCATATGTTCAATATAACTCAGCATAATTACTGTGAAAATGGAAGATAGAGAATTTGGAATCTACAACTACTTGCAGAAAAATATGGTGATCAAGATATTTTTTGTATTCCTTCTCTCCACTTGATTTACTTTCTTCTTAGGAAACCAAACGGGAAAAAAAAGTGAGTAAAGAATCTTAGTCCTCTGCACAATCACAGATAAATTAGGAAGGGGTTGAAACAAGAAAAATGGAGAGAAAAATATGAGAGAAGGCATATTATGCACTGTTGGATAAGATGTGTATGTTGTTCCAGAACTTGCGGCCGTCATTAGTAATGTATCACATGATGATGATTTTAGATAATCAGCCATCCTCCCCATCCTTTAGCGAAAGAACAGGACAAGAAAAGATGAAAACAAACTGATTAACATTTGTGAAGTTAGGGAACTCATTTATACGGTATCCCATAGCTTTGCTCTTAAATAAGTCAGAGGGGCCTTTCTCAAGTCTCAACTTTGAGGAATCACATGAAGCAGAACATGAGTCCTATATTCATACATGACTACTTTTTCACAAGAAAGATTCTCCAGCACCATTGAATATGTTAAATAGTGTTGGAGCATCCAACCCGAAGCCGGTTGGCAATGTTGGAGAGGCCATTAAGCATATAAACCAAACTTGGGTGGTTTTGCTCATTTGATGTGAAATACAAGCTCTCTTTACCCCATCCCTCACATGGGACCCAGGCTTGCACGTGAAAATTCAAATGGATAAGAGGCTTGGCTCACTAACTACCTAAATCTTAGTTTTGATATGAGATTAGAGCATCAAGCCCAAAACTCATCGGCAATAAGTGAAGATGTCCCTTAAGCATATAAACCAATCTTGGGTGGCCCTAATATCGATATTAGATACAAGCTTTTTTTTTTACAAAGAGGTGGTAAAAAAGTCCCAACTGTCTAAATTCATACGAGATTCTCATAGTAACTATCTCCCACTGTTGGAAATAATATTATGATCTCATAATATTGTACCTAACAACATTTTTTAATTCTACATTGGAAGGCCTTAACCTCTCCCAGCCCCCTGAGTTAATGAGACTAACCTCGATAACGACATTTATTGCTTGCATCACTAAAATGTGGTTACACCACCTATACTAGGATATCAACTACTAACCAAAACTATGCAACATGACCAATCAAGCAAGTAAAGATTAGAGGAGGAGGAATTACAATATTGCGGAGACACCCCGACAGTAACGTTCCCACATTGTACGGAATCTTCTTTGCCCTCCAAGGTCCCAAAGCTTTATCGTTACATTTCCTTTAGTGACTTTTCGCATATTAAATCCCACCTGATTTTCAAAGCACAAAAAATATGCTAGAATAACCTAATACTGGAAGTTGGGGCACTGAGATTCTATTTTGTTAGAAATAAGATACCTACAGTTGGAATCATGTCCTCACTGTAGCCTCCTGTCTGATAGAAGTTAAACATAAAACAAAATTCATGGTTAAGAGAAAATCATTCCAGGAGAGGAAAACAAGAAGAAGAAGAGAAAAAGATGATGGATAGATTTGATTTTACTTACAGCAATGGCATTTACAAGAGAGGTTTTTCCAGCATTCTGAAGGCCTACGAGGGAAAGTTCCATTTCCTGTTTGAAGAATAAGCTGATACGGAGACACAGTGAGAAGCACAAAAGGACTTACAAATAATAACACAAGTACATTGATCTTCATAATCAAAGAATAAAGCAAAAGCAAGAATGTTTCTGCTTCAGCACAACTGGCGAAGAATGTCAAAATCTATGATTTAGAAATATATTAAAATGAAGGTCTTGGGAGAGACAACCCATATGGCCAAATCTGTGAGCATCTTTAACAATTTTCATATGTTCTTTCAACAAAGCTACAGGCTATGGTGTGTTATGATCTGAAATTCCAAATTATAACGAATTTGAGTAATGCAATTGTTCCTGTAAACATTTGAAAAGTTTGCCAAAAGTACATTGTACTGTTTTTTCACAATACTCTACGTAGCAGCATATTCTTGTAGTGGTTTCTTGCACATCAGGCTCCTGTTAGGACAGGTCAACTCAACCTCAGCACAAGGCAACCCTAGTCCCAAGCTCAATTGCATCCCAGACCTTTCGATCAAAGTTCCATTGAAAGATGTGGTTTTAGAAGTAATCTATATGGAAATTGAAATGAGTCTATTTGGGCCAAGGGTTTGGGATATGTAAGGGGAGACCGCCTCAGTAAAAATCATTTATAATACACAACATATACCTAGCTTGATGGAACAAATTGATTTGTGTCATGGATTACAAAGCAAGAGAAATCATGGACATCTAATAGAAATGCCAAATAATTTTGAAGACTAAAGTTTGTAAAATTGAGCAAAGGATATGTGCTTTCGTGAAATTTTACGATATTTACAAGGACAACTTAGGGCAATTTGTATTCTGTTTCGACTTGACTGTTAAAATCATAGGTATATCATTGCCCAACTCAAGATGCACAAAAGACGATAAAATAAAAGAGGCAACAAGACTCTGGAGTAAAGGAGTTCCCCATAGTTATGTTTGGAGCATTGATAAATTCAAGACTACATCACTGACAGTCCTATTCCCAGAAGGTGCAGTTTTCCTCCAAAGTAAGGGCGACCTAGTGCACGAGAGGTTGGGGAGGATCGAAGGTACACACCCTTACCCGCCAAGCGGATCATGACTCGAACCTTTAATGCCTAGGTCACAACAGTCTTACTGCTGCACCATTGCCAACTCTCTATTATACTCCCAAGTAAATGTAGAAATGGAGAAGTCCTCCGAAGTCTTTCATTTTCTGTTCTTAGCTTTTCAAAATTGAAGAACTTAAGTAACTAAAGTATCATTCTTTTGGTGCCATTTCTCAGATAGGATCTTATCGTACATGAGAAAAATCACTAGGCAAATTGATGTCAGCGACAAACTTTTCTACGAGGGAAAAGACTTCGTGCCTAAGGGTCGCCAACTCTTTTCATTGATGAACTCAAAGATCCACTCTCCCCACACCGAATCTTTCTGTGTGCTTTATGTTGAGCACGATCCAGTTGTTCTTCTCCCCCAAACCCCCGGCCCAAAACACACAAACAACACAACCCTTGATAATATGCTCTCATGATGTATTTGATACTTCAAAGTTCAAATATAACCATTAGCAATTCAATTTGCCATAACGAATGGATTGGTGCCTATCTCTAGTGGTACCAGTGGGGCTATAAGGATTGGGTGTCAGGGTTTGAATCCCATCACCTACAGTTAGTTGAAGAATCAAACAACAATGAATAACACACAATTCAGTCTCCATTTTCACGTTCCTTCTGCTCGTCTTCTACTTTCTCTGGAACCAAACAGATATAAAGGGCCACCCCATGTTCTATACTTAATAAATATAAGTGGTTAGTGCGCTGAAAACAATAGCTATAACATAAAGATCAGACCACGTTGCTCACAACATAATATGGAAAATATTCCGAGAATTAAACAAGGAAAATCGAACAATTCTGATCAGGAATTTCAAGAGACAAGAGGAGAAGAAAATCAAACAAGGAAGTAAAAAGAGAAGAGATCAGTTACCTCCGGAGCCAATTGAGGAAGGAATCCCATAAACCCATTTCTTTGAAAACGAGAGTTTCGGTGAAACCAATTGGGTTTTCGGAGAATTGCAGTTTTTTTTCTTCCCTGAATTCTCTCAGAGAGAACCAGCTGAAGAAGAGGACGAAGGATAATTTAAAAAAAAGGAAAAAAAAAAAAAAAGGACAAAAAAGGAAACTTCGCCGACCGGGTGAAGATTCTCTATGTTGTTGTACTTGTAAATTGTAATAATTTCACAAAGGGAAAAAAAATTCAATACTATATTACTAAATTTTATAAATTAAAATTTACTATTTTTTTCATGATAGTATTGGTTAAATAGGATCAATTATGTGGTAACTTCAAATGTTGTAGATGACTCAAAATTTAAAAACGATTGCCCAAAGTTATAAATAATTTTCAAAATTTATATAAAAAAAAAACTCACAAAGGCAGCATGGTACCAAAATTTATTTTTTGGGTACTCTAGTTTTCTCCAAAACTCTTTGGGACGTGGCTTCTTGTTTACACGTGGCGGCGTGAAAAGTTTACCTCCTATGCGGTTTTTCAAAAATAGTGCTATTTTTCTTCCTTTTTTCAATTAGAAATATGTTGGAGCTTAGTTAAACTTAACTAAGAACAAGAGAAAGAGCATATAAAGAACAAAAGAGAATGAGAGAAGGTTATATTTTTTATTGGAGAAGGTTATATTTTTTACTAGAGAATAATTTGCTTAAATACATGAGTTTGCAACTAAAAACCAAAAATAAAAGCAACAAACTTCCTAAACTTTAGCTACTAACCTTAACAGCTAGTAAATAACAAAAAATCAAAACAAATCTCCTAAAAATTTGGTCAAATAGTATATAATGCACTGAATATCAGTTGCAGCCCTTAAGACCTGATTTTAAAGACAGTTGGTATGTAAACTTGAGCTTGCAGCCTCAGTTTCACATGTGCAGCCACCTCTGCTAGCCATGTCAGCATCCATATCAGCAACTACTGATGCACACATTCAACACTCCTCCTTGCATCAGTGAGTGGAGATTCCAAGTTTCTCTCTTAAAAACTCAAACCTATTTTTAGGAAGAGCTTTAGTGAAGATATCTGTTAGCTGGTTTTTAGTATTGCAATGTTTCAAACGCACTGCACCATCTTTTTGAACATCTCTGAGAAAGAACAACTTTATACTGAAATGCTTTGTTTTTCCTTGAAAAATTGGATTGTTGGAGATAGTTATGGCTGCTTGGTTGTCCACCATCACCTCTGTACTCATCCCTTACTCCAAGTGTAAATCAATTAGAATTTTTCTTAGTCATAAGGCTTGATTAACAGCAGTTGTGGCTGCTATGAACTCTGCTTCAGTTGTTGATTGTGCAACAATTTCTTGTTTTTTTGAACACCAAGAGAACACACCTGATCCAAAGTAGAAACAATAGCCTGATGTACTTTTCATGTCATCTAAAGACCCCGCCTAATCACTGTTAGAGTAACCCTGCAACTTGAAACTCTGACATGTACTGAACTTGATACCATAACTTAAGGTCTCCTTAACATACCTTAGAACTCTTTTTGTTGCTTTAAAATGACTTTCACTTGCACAATTCATGAACCTTGATAGTACACTTACAGCATGCAAGATATCTGGTCTTGTTGCTGTGAGATACATTAAGCAGCCAATTAAACTTTTGTAAAGAGTTTCATCTGCTTGTTCAGCTCCATCATCCTTGCACAACTTCTCCTTTTGATAAATTGGAATACTCATGCTTTTACAATTCTCCATGTTAAAAATCTTTAGGATCTCCTTTGCATACTTCCGTTGACAGATGAAAATTTTATCTTCTTCCTGTTTAATCTCCATTCCAAGGAAGTAAGACATTTCTCCCAGGTCAGTCATCTCAAAGACTTGCATCATGTCTTCTTTGAACCGCTGGATAAGTTCAGCATTGTTACCTGTAACTAGAAGATCATCAACATACTAGGAGATCACAATTAAGTTAGCTTGATCACCTTTGACATATAAAGTTGATTCACTAAGGCTTTTAACAAAGCCTAAGTCCAACAAATGCTCATCAATTCTACTGTACCAAGCCCTTGGGGCCTGTTTTAAATCATACAAAGCCTTCTTCAATAGATAAACCTTGTTCTCATGCCCTTTCACAGTAAAACCTTCAGGCTGCTCAACATAGATTTCTTCCTCTAGAAATCCATTTAGAAATGCTGATTTCACATCAAGTTGATAGATTTTTCATCTTTTTTGTGTTGTAATGGCTAACAACAGCCTGATTGTATCTAGCCTTGCAACAGGGGCAAATGTATCAAAAAAAATCCACACCAAAAACTTGAGTATACCCTTTTACCATTAACCTCGCTTTGTGCTTGTTAATTGAGCCATCTGTGTTTAGCTTTGTTCTAAACACCCACTTGACTCCAATCACCTTTCTGTGTTTAGGCCTTTCAACAAGTTCCCAAGTCTGATTTTTTTCAATCATGGAGAGCTCCTCCTGTATTGCAGCCCTCCATTTGGGATCCTTTTCAGCTTCCCAATACCCTACAGGTTCAAGAATTGCAACATTGCATCTCTGATAAACATCAGAGAGCAATCTAGTGCTTCTTACAGGAGGGTCATCAACTAACTCATCCTGATTTTGTATAGGATTAGCAATCACCTTCTTTTCTGCAGTATTCCAGCTCTATTGCTCATTCTCTATGAAGTGCACATCCCTGCTTATCAAAATTTTCCTTGTGTGAGGTTGAAAAACTCTGTAAGCCTTAGATATTGAGCTATATCCCACAAAGATGCCAGGTTAAGCTTTCTTATAAAGCTTGTCTCTTTTAATTGTGGCACATGAGTAAAACACAAGCATCCAAACACTTTAAAATTTTGCAAAGAAGGCTTGTAACCATACCAGGCCTCAAAAGGAGTCTTCCCATTCACTGCTTTGGTGGGAAGCCTGTTTAGCAAAAATATTGCAGTGTTTGCAGCCTCTGCCCAATACTCTTTAGGCAATCCTTTTTCATAGAGCATGCACTGGACCATTTCCACAATTGTTATGTTCTTCCTTCCACTCACTCCATTCTGTTGTGGAGTGTATGGAGCAGTGAGTTGATGCTCAATGCTTGCTTCATCACAAAATAAGTTAAATTGTTCTGAAGTATATTCTTTGCCATTGTCAGACCTTAGAACTTGAATCTTACAGCCACTTTGGTTCTCAATCCACTGCTTGAATTTAAAAAAAACTCCTGCAACTTCTGAATTAAATTTGAGAAAATAAATCCAACACATTTTGGTGAAGTCATCAATGAAAACTATGTAATATTTACTCCCTTTAAGTGAAGGAGTTCTCCGAGGTCCAGACAGATCAATGTGGATGAGTTGTAGCTTCTCAATTGCTCTCCAAGTTGACTGTGAGAAGGGTAGTTTTGCTTGCTTGCCAAACTGACAAGCCTTGCAATTTGGCACATCAACTTCCAAGTGAGGCAATCCTTGAACCAGCTGCTTCCTTTGCATAGACAAGACTGCTGCATGATGAAAATGACCTAGTCTTTTGTGTCAGGTCTCTGTGTTGCTCATAGCAATAGGATAAGCTGCATGTTCCTCTTTCATTGGATCTAGTGAGAAGCTTTTGCCTCTCATTTTGATTCTGAAGACTTCCTTATCATTGGCATCCTTGATTAGACATTGCTTATCTTCAAAGATGACTTTAAATCCCTTCTCAAGTAACTGTCCCACACTTAGCAAATTTTGGTCAATATCAGGTACAAACAAAATATCAGTAATTAGTTTAGTACCTGTGCAACTTTTAATTGCTATAGTTCCCTTTTCTTTGACTGTAATGTGCTCACCATTGCCAATTCTGACTTTTGATACCTCTGATCTGTCTAGCTCTCTGAAAAGCTCTTGATCATAGGTCATGTGATTGGTACAACCATTATCCACTAGCCAACATTCACTTGAGCTGCTGCTTGCAAAACAGGTTGCTACAAACAACTGTTCTTCCTCTTCTTGCTGGTCTGCAACTTGAGCCTCATTCCTCTGCTGAAAATTGCTTTTGCAAATTCTCTCATGATGCCCCAACTTGTTTCACTTATCACACTTAACATCAGGTTTTCTCCAACACTTGAAAGGTGGATGACCCTTTTTGCCACAGTGTCTGCAAGGAGGAAATTCTTTGTTGTTTCCTCCAATATTGTTGCTGGTGTTAGTAGCTGCTCCTGGTGTGCTAGAATTCTTCTTTTTGTTTTTGTTTTTCTTGCCTTTTTCTCCTTGTTTGATTTTCAATTTAGCTTGCAATGCTCCCTCCACAAAACCTTCAGCCCTCATTATTCTTCTTTGTTCTTGAGCTTGTAAAGAATTTAGAAGTTCTGCCAAGCTGATTCTTGACAAATCTTTAGCATTCTCCAAGGAAGAAATAGTAGCTTCAAATATTTCAGGGATAGTTACTAATATTTTCTGAACTATTCTTGAATCAGAAAATTCAGAACCAAGTAATCTTACCTTGTTGACAATGCTAAGAAGCTTATCAGCATATTCTTTGATTGTCTCTGACTCCTTCATTTTCTGCATCTCAAATTCTCTAATTAGATTCAGCACTTGCATTCCCTTGATCCTCTCATCTCCTTCATATTCATTCTTGAGAAAATTCTAGATTTCAAATGCTAATTTCATGGTCATAATTCCGGAGAAAATTGCTGGTGAGACAACAACAAACAAAGAAGCTTTGGCCTTTGACTTTCTTGTTTTCCTTTCCTTATGATTTCTGAGTTGTGCCATTGTTGGATCGTTTGGTAATGGAAGAACTTCGTAGTCTTCTTCAACAGCTTCCCAGAGATCATTTGCCTCTAGGTGTGCCTCCATTCTGACTGCCCAGACGTGATAATTGTCACCATTAAACACTGGTGGTGCTAGTGTTGTGAATGGTGTTGGAGAATCCATTTATTTAATGGATGGAAGCAAGGTGTTTAGCCCTTTTTTGGTGAGGTTCACTCTCAAGTCCCTTTAAGAAGACTGCTCTGATACCAATTTGTTGGAGCTTAGTTAAACTTAACTAAGAACAAGAGAAAGAGAGCATATAAAAAACAAAAGAGAATGGGAGAAGGTTATATTTTTTACTAAAGAATGATCTGCTTAAATACATGAGTTTGCAACTAAAAACCAAAAATAAAAGCAACAAACTTCCTAAATTTTAGCTACTAATCTTAACAGCTAGTAAATAATAGAAAATCAAAACAAATCTCCTAAAAATTTGGTCAAAGAGTATATAATGCACTGAATATCATTTGCAGCCCTTAAGACTTGATCTTAAAGACACCTGACATGCAAACCTGAGCTTGCAGCCTCAGTTTCACATGTGCAGCCACCTCTGCTAGCCATGTCAGCATCCATATCAGTAGCTATTGATGCACACATTCAACAAAATATAACAAACTTGGTTATTTGAAAGAAAAATATTATTGGGATCTAATGTGAGGTAACGGATTCTAATATTTGAATGATGTTCATTATCAATACATTGGACAAAATAGATTAGATCTCCAATTTAGGGTTATTACATAAATATTCTCAATTCAAACTCTAATTTAACCCAAATAGGGTAATTAAACCACAAATTACCTACTTTGTTTCACTTTGATACTTATTCTGTCAATTGTGTGATTCTAATCCCTTCAATGTCCAATTATACGACAGTTTAAGAAGACGTGCATTTTAATGGTCTATTGTTTAGGTGAGATTAAAAAATAGGACAACTTCCATATGATCAAGTCAAAGTTGTTGATAAAATAATGTACATTGTGAAATATTTTTCACAATTACTATACCTTTTCCTGATCCCATTTGTGTTTATTTCCTTCCTAATTTATGTTCCCATAGATCATGTATTCAATCCCATAGATTATGGGACACTATTGTATATCTCGTTAACCTCTCCTATCAATCCCACATATCATGGGACTTGTTTTTCCCAACACAATTCCTTAACACACTCCTTTCGTGGAATATTGCAAAGAACGTGGAATTCAAAGACAACTTATCGTGAGAAGAAGTCCACAGCAAAATGGTGTCGTAGAAAAGAAGAATTGAATTATAGTTGAGACGGCTCATAGTATGTTGAAAGACAAAGGTCTACCAAACAAGTTTTGGGCAGAAGGTGTTAATACGATAATTTATATCCTAAATTGAAGCCCCACAAAAGATGTTCACAATAGGTCTCCATTTGAAGCATGGAATATAAGTAAGTCAGTTGTCGACCACTAGAAAGTTTTTGACTTCATTGCATATAGTTTAATTCTTCCAGAAAATAGAGACAAATTTGATGAGAAGGGTAACATCTTCACTGGCTGCAACAATGAGTCTAAAGGTTATCGTCTATTTAATCCAAAGACTAGCAAGCTAGTAATTTCCAGAGATGTGGTCTTCGATGAAATGGCAGCTTGGAGCTGGGAAGAAATCTCCTCTGAAGCACCAATATCGGGTGAGTTTTTGGAACCGGAAACAAGTCAGGAAGAGTCCAAGTCCAAGTCCAAGTTCCAGTCCAGCAAGATCACCAACTTCAAGTTCTACAAGTCAAGAAAGTACAGATTCACAACCAAGAAAGGTGCGTTCCTTGAGAGAAATTTATGGCTCATGTAATATTGCATTTTTCACTTGTAAACCACATAGTTTTGAAGAAGCCGCATAAGATAAGTTGTGGAGAAATGCAATGGATGAAGAGATTGAAATGACAAAAAAGAATAGAACATGGGAACTTGTGCACTTGCCAAAGGGAAAAGAAGTGATCGGACTAAAGTGCGTTTACAAGGCTAAGTTCAAGGTAGATGGTAACATTCAAAAGCATATAGCTAGATTGGTAAAAAATGGCTATTCTCAACAAGTTGGCACAATTTTCAATGAAACTTTTTCCCTAGTTGCTCGGATGCTGACTATTCGGACTGTTCTTGCATTGGCAGCCCAATTGTAGTTAAATGTTTACCAGAATGGACGTGAAATCAGCTAGCGTTTTTTAATGGGAAGTTGGAAGACGAAGTGTTTGTAGAACAACCTCAAGGCTATGTAGTGGAAGGAAATGAAGATAAAGTGTATCAACTCCGAAAGACACTATGTGGTTTGAAACAATCTCCAAGAGCTTGAAATAGCAAAATTGATGGATATTTGGGCCAAAATGGATTCTAGAGAAGTCCAAATGAACCAATACTCTGTGAAAAAGGAAGGTATGAGAGACTTTCTAATAGTTTGTTTATATGTTGATGATTTGATTTATCTGGGAACAAGGATGATGATGATGGTTGAGGATTTTAAAAAGAAAATAATGAAAGAGTTTGAGATGATAGACTCGGGTCTTATGAAGTGCTTTTTTGGAATCCAAGTGAAGCAATCAAATGGAAAGGTTTTCATCTCTCAAGAAAAGTACACTGAGGTTTTGTTAAAAAAGTTTCAAATGAACAAGAGCAAACCAGTGTCTGCTCCCATGGTTTTGAATGAAAAGTTGCAGCAACATGATGGTGCAGAGAAAGTGGATGCAAAGGCTTTCAGGAGTCTAGTTGGATCATTGATTTATCTTACAAATATGAGGCCAGATATTATGCATTCGGTAAGCCTAATTTCAAGATTCATGAATGAACCAAGCAAGAGTCATTTTGCAGCGGCTAAAAGAGTGCTAAATATCTTCAACTTCAAGGAATTATGGTCTCGTGTATCTGAACGATGATGGCAACAAGCTTGCTAGTTTTACTGACAGTGATTGGGCTAGTTCGTTGGATGATAGAAAAATCGGATCAGGTTACTTGTTTTGTCTTGGCACTAAAGTGATTTCTTGGTGTTCAAAGAAGCAGAAAACAGTAGCATTATCCTCAGCAGAAGCTCAAGAAATATATCTTATGTCTACCATTATTAACTAATTACTACAGTTTATCCAGACCATTCAACAACAAATAGAAATAGTGTCGTTATGCATCAGTTGTAGAACCAAAAAGAATAATAGAAATCGAGAAAACTTCTGATATAGGAGAGGATAAAAGAGAACATTGTGAAGACGTGGATTCTGGTGCTGCATAGCATTTTGCTTTGCTCGTTATTTCCAAGTTGTGAACATTCCATTGTAGCAAGTTTATGTTATACTAAAACCCATTCATTTTTGATACATTGAAACACTCTTCTGTTGCCCCCAACAAATGATAGATTAGAAAACAAATTATATACTAGTATACGAATAAAAATAAGAGTAAACTAAACATATGATTCTCAAATTATAATTACTGCATCAATTAAGTCACTGAACTCTTTTTTTGTGTCACTTGGATCATTGAACTTTTTAATTATGTCAATTGAGCTATTTTGTCTGCTTCTGTTAAATTTTTGAATGAAAAATGACGAATTGTGCCACTCACCTCACACAAATAGTTGGAAAAGCACATATGATCCTCAAATTATGACTCTTGTGTCAATTAAGCACCTAATTTTTTTTGTGTGTCTGTCATTTGAGTCTATGAACTCTTTAATTGTATCAATTGAGTTCTTTTATATGTTTATATAATGTAGTTACGTAGATGACACACTCTAACGGAGGTGGAAAGAATGACTTAATTGACACAATTAGAAAGTTTGAGGGTTTAATTAAAAAAAAAATTAAAAGTTTAATTGACACAAGGGTTATAGTTTAAATGTCATATATGTAGTTTACTCTAAAAATAAATATAAAAAGACGATGATTTGGGCCAAAAAATCTTATCTTGGGGGGTGTTTAGGTGTGGAGTGAGGACTGTACGTTCACTCTTTCTTCCAAACCAGCCTTCTTGATTATCATTTCCACAGTAAAACCAAGCTAATTAATGGAATTTGTAGTCAACACTTCTATGTGAGGTTTGGACAATCTTTTACAATGGTTGCCCTTTTAAGCCATCTTGTCCCCCACCCACGAGTGAAAAATACACACACACACAAGTTTCTTAAGTCACTGACCTTAAAAAAATTTCTTCTTAGCCTAATTAATGGTAAGGGTGCAAATTGGCAACCCAAAAAATTAGGGTTTGGATTAGGATTTTTTATACTTGGATTGAGCTTGGGTCAAAAAACATCAACCCAAATTTAATTTGGGCGGACCTTGGGTTGAGCTATCAAGTTCATGGGTTGAACCCGAATATTAAAATTGGGCTCAACCCAAATTAATATTACATAAATACATATTTTATGCTAGGATTAATCTCAGCGCCTCCCTTAGACCTTCACTCACTCTCAATCTCTCTCGATCTCTCAGTCTCTCACCGACTCACCCTCATTCACCTACGCCTCCTCCTTCCCTCTCATCTTCGCCTCTCTCTCTCTCCCTCTCTCTTAGAACAGATCAGAGCAGCCTCCTTCGTCTTCATCAGGTATGCATATGGCATTTGTGTTTATGCAAAGATACTCCGGAAAGAATAAGCATCATACTCAGTTTTTGAACAGAAACACGAGGGTTCAGTTGGATTTTGTTTAAACTAGTTACATTATTTATCCCATCTGATCATTAAAAAATTATCCAAAGAAAGCTTTATCAAAATAATTTTGTCTTAATGTGAAGGAATTTCTGTTAAAAACTTGGGGAATATTTGGTGTTTCTACCACTTTGTTCAGGTTTAGAACATGAATCCAAAATTAGCCCGAAATCAGCCCGAAATTATTAATCTGAATTTAACCTGAACCCGTCCGAATTAAATTCGGACAGTGCTTGGATTGAGTTTATCAACCCAAGGTAGAATTAGAGTTAGGATTAGGGTTAGAGTTAAAAATTGTATACCTAGAATTAACTGTCCAACCTGTCCGAGTTGCACCCCTAATTAATGGCCTCCATAGAAAATCCAAAACCTTTATCCCTACAATCATGGTACGTGAGAATGACCACAATAGGAAAAATAATTCATACGCTCAAGCAAACAGTAGACTAGTAAAGAACACGCATCAAGTAGATTGGTCAACCTTGAGTGTGAAAAGGATATTTCTAAATTTCAAAGACTATATCAAGTCATTCACGTTGAGTTGTTAATTGCAAGGAAGACGAAAAAAATAAAATAAATAAATAATAGGAAATAAATGAACTTAAAAGCAGGAAGAGAAATTTCTTATATACACTTGAGATGTGATAATTAATTATACTTTGTACCCTCTAATTATAGTTTTTATCTCATGTTATCTCATATATTATATTTAGTTATTCACGTTAGCCTGTTAATTAGTTGAGTTGATTTTATGTGACCTCAAAACCGAATGTACATTATGAGTTAGATGAAGAATGTCAACATGTCTTTCATATTTCGAAGACAAATTGATGAAATTTTTTTTGATTTGATTTGCAGCAGACATTTGCATTTTGAACAATGTAAAATTAATAATGAATCTACAATAAATGTGAGAATTGAGAACGTAATGTGAGACGTGGATACCGTTTGACGGGTTAAAGTATATAAGAAGTCAATTGTGGACCATCTTTATAAAAACCCGTGAAAATTGTATTCAAAGGCCAAGGACTTAAGCTTCACCCCTTCTAGTTGAATGGATAAAAAGCAAAACCAAACAGTTGATATGAAGTGAGAAGCTTCTTTCATTATGATGGGTCCCATTGACAGCCTATCGAAATGCACACAATTCATCATTTTATTTGACTTGAACACTCAAATGCGAAGTGTGTATACATTTTTCAAATTCCGGCAGGTTGCATGATTTCTTTGACGAGGGTGCCAAATGAATATATAGACTCTTGTGTCGAGAGAAATTCTTACACTCCTAGTCAGCGGCGGATCTACAGTTGGGGGGCAGCTGCCCCCACTGGAATTTTAAAAAACTTTGGGAACTAAGTGTAATTTTAAAAAATTTAGAATTTATTAGATTTGTCTCCACTCAATTTTTTTCAAAAGATTTAAGGGTAGTTATGTTATTTTGACAAATATATGAGTCTCACTTGTAAATATCAACAAAAGATGATATCAAAAATTTGGGCATTTAAAGATTAACTAATATGCTACGAAATAAGTTTTGCCCTCTCATTTGTTTTATGTTTATACATTGAACTAAATTAGGGGCTTGTAATCCTCTTCTTTGTTTTATGTTTATATGTTGAATTAAAAATATAAATTGAGGCTTATAATCATCTCTTATGTTTTATTTTTTATGCATTGAATTGAAACTATGATTTGTGGTCCTGTATTTATTTTTCTATGTTGAAATAAAATTGGAACTTGTAGTCCTCTTCTATGATTTATTTTTTTATATATTTAATTGATATTTGAGTTTTTAGTTCTCTCTAGTGTTTTATTTTTATATGTTGAATTGGAATTAGAACTTGAAGTCGTCTTATTTGTTTTATTTTTATTTGAGGAATTGGAATTTTGACTTTTAGTCCTCCATTATAATTAGACTAAATTATTTTGATTTGGTAGTTTGAATAGTTTTATTGTGATAAGTTAAGTACTTCATATACCTAGATTTAGTTTACTACAATAATTATAGTTTAAGTTAATTTCGATTGTTTGTTAAAATTTAATGATGTATATTAAATTTGTAATTGAACAAATTAATTTTTGAATTAGTTATAAAAATTTTTCTTAAAATTTAATATATGATTGAGCTCAATTTTAGGGTTCAAAATTTTTTTGTTAGATCTTATAGATTAATCTATAATGATTTTTTTTTTTGGCTCCTTTTGTATATCACTCATGTATATGAATTGCGTCTTTAATTGGTGTTATATTAATAAAATTATATTTTTGTGAATATTTAAAATTTTAATAATAATATAATTTATGCTGCCCCTACTAGAGAAGATTTCTGGCTCCGCCCCTGCTCCCAGTCCAATGGGTGCAATAGTCAAAATTACCTAGACAACAAAAGTGACGTAGACTAAACATTTGAAGTTTGAATCTTGATAATATCTTATAACTAAGTTTCGATGTGGATGATCTATTTTTGATCGAATGAAAAATAGATTAATCGAAGTGTACATATATATATATATATATATATATATATATATATATATATGATCCCGAGTACACGTAGTAATATATATGGGATGAAAGACAAATAGTAATATAGTATATACATCTTGAGTGAATAAATAAAGCAGCTAGCAAGTGTAATGAAATGATGCCTGTATTTTAATTCCATCAAAGTATATTCAGTACTACAACTATAATGAATAACCCCCTTGGATTGAATGCTATCTTCAGGTGGTGTATTCCAACGAAGATGAAGAGGAGAGAAGGTAGTTAGGGCTTTACGGGAGAGGAAAGGAAGGAGTGAAGGCAACGATCATCAGGTGGCTTTTCAGTGATGGAACACTTCCATTGCCGGCTGTTGGCAGCGATCTCCGACGAAGATGGCCGTCGGCCATTTCAGTCATGGAATGGAACACGAGGGTGAAAAGGGGGAGGCAGATCACCGTTAGGAGAAAATATTGAGTGTAACCGTTGATGATGCACAAAATTGACAATACATGATCAAATTAGTTGAGTGTATAATATAAAATAATTAAAAAATAAGAGATAAATAATTGATGGTTGGATTTGAATGACCTGACCACTTAAGATAAAAGTGATCGAAACATTCTATTAACGAGAGAGTACAAAATAATAGGAAAAAGAGAGTAAGAATAAGAACATGCTCGAGGTGTGTGAGATTTGCCCTATATTTAGGGGTTTATAATTTATATGCACAGAATCGTAGGTGAGGTCGTGACCCGAAGGTCAAGCTACTAATTTATTGGATATGATAGTTATAATTGGGGATGAGCACTATCCTAAAATAATGACTATCTCGATGATTGTTCTCTCACGTGCGTTAACTCTTCTTAGACTCTTGAGTTTTGGCCTAGATTAAAGTCATGAGTTAAGCTTGACATGTCTTTTAATGATTTGAGCTCAACTCATGAGCTAAGTCCAGACCTATTTTGAATCTGCGCTCATCAACTGCGACACCAGACCATCAATATCATGTGATGTCACAAATTAGTGATAAAATATTAAGCAGTAAACTCCACTATTTTAATAACTATCAATAATCACCTTATTTAATAACTATCAATAATTTCGTTATTTAATGACTAATTCGTTCACCGATCCTATTTATTGTTTTCATCGGTCTCTTTCTCTGGAGCCAAACTATCTTCCTCTATATATGCATTTCGGTTGGTTTATTGGCTTGTAGGGTGAACATGGGAAGGCAACCATGCTGTGACAAAGTTGGGCTGAAGAGAGGACCATGGACAGCTGGAGAGGACAACAAACTCATCAACTTCATCCTCACCAATGGCCATTGCTGCTGGAGAGCTCTTCCCAAACTTGCAGGTTACCCATGACCTGACCCCAAATTATACTACCATCAATGTATCTGTGTGTGTGAGAGAGAGAGAGAGAGAGAAATTTTTGCTTCTGTGAATGTTAACTTGTGATCATGGAAATGGTGGTTGACATTGCAGGACTTTTGAGGTGTGGGAAGAGTTGCAGGCTAAGGTGGATAAACTATCTCAAACCAGACTTGAAGAGGGGTCTGTTATCAGAACATGAAGAGAAGATGGTTATTGATCTCCATGCTCAACTTGGCAACAGGTTTTTTTTTTTTCTCTTGCCACTGTTGGACATCCGAATTACTTGTAAATTTTGATACAGATCTCGGGACCATAGTCTTACACTAAACGTCATCACATAATTCCTTCCATGAGATGATGAGTGGCAGAAATGAACTGCTGAAAGAATGAGTCCTATTTCAGGAACCCATTCTCTGTGCCTTCTACCATTGCTATCATCTTCTTTCTATATTAATAGAATGTTGTTCTTGCATTAGCCGCTGTCAAACAGCTGAGCTGTCCCAAATTATTTTAGTAAAGTCCACTAAAAAAACTATGATAAAAAAGACCAAGGTTATTGTTGTCCAAGAAAAAGTTTCTAAGCAATAGCTGGAATACCTTCTTATATGGACCAATTCTAGTTGTCATTAAAAAGGTTACAAATCAATGTTTACATAAAAAAAAAAAATGTTTACAAATCTATTTTGCTACTAGATGCAAAAACCATGGACCAATTCTAGTGGCCATTAAAAAGTTTACAACTCTTTTTGGCAAATATTTGTACAGATGGTCCAAGATTGCTTCGCAGCTCCCTGGAAGAACTGATAATGAGATCAAAAACCATTGGAATACCCACATCAAGAAAAAGCTAAGGAACATGGGGATTGATCCTCTCACCCACAAGCCACTGCCTATCGCCACCGATGATCCACCGCAACCAACACCAAAAGAACAACAAGAACCACCACCATCTTCAAGTATTGGCACGTCTGAAATGGATCAAAACAAAGAAACTGAATTGCAGACATCAATGCGGTCAACCATTACTGAGGCCAAAGAAGATGAAGACAAAATCATGACAAGCCCATACCCATTTGACTCAATGGAAGTCAATAGTGGCTTCTGCATATATGAAGTCCCACTGGTTAAACCCAGTGAGATTGTACTTCCTTGTGATCTTCCTCCATCAACCTCTTCATTTTCATCTTCTGGTGCTTCTTATGTGGGCTCATCTGAAATGCTTGAAGACTTGCCACCGTTTGACTGGCATTGTGCTTACAACAACAACATGTTTGGTTTCTGGGAAGATGACTTCAGCGATTTGGATAGGTTGATTAATGAGAGTAGTAACATGAATGAGTGACTATGGAAGCTCCTATCACACAGTACCCTAGAATGGTCATGGATGAAGAGTTTTGAAAGCCCTTGTCTGATTGAATAATGTTCATTTGGGGCTAGTTTGTAATATGGTTGGTAATTAGTTCTTGGTTGCAACAGTGAATACAAGTCAATAATAATTGGTAAAAATACCTCCTTTGTTTATGAATAGAGTTATATCAACATCACAAAAAAAAAAAAGGAATGGAATTATATTACATTATAGAATATGTGTATTGTGTCCTTTCTGCCCGTTTAATTTACTGAGGGTACTTAGAGGACTTAAGCTGATGAAAGCGTAAAAGAAAGAATACAAATCAAGTGAACATTTTCTCTTTAGTAATCTTTAGCAATTGTGGATTGGTGTTTAGTAGTATATTATCCGCAAGTGAAGTAAGTAATTCATAACAGCATATAATCAAGTCTCTTTTTTGTCAGGGTTCATACTTCGTATACATTTTTGAGTCAATAATTTAGGAAAATCAAACGTGGACTTTAATCTCCGTGTATATAAATAAGGCCCCAAATTTAAGAGGTTAATAATGTAATAAAACCTATGTTTAAAAATCAATATAATTTAATCCAACAAAAAAAATCTAAAAGAGTAAGTCAACAAAAATCATTTTAAATTTTGAACCCAAAAGTCCAACCCACCTAACACAATCACGTTTGCTGAAGCACAAAATAGATTAACAAAAAAGTCTGACATCTTCAATTTTGTTTTGACTTTCTCATACAAATCAATTATAATAAGCATCTTTTTGTCCCTCTCAAAATAAAAACAAATCCAACACATTCTTTACTTCTCAAACTCCATTTTGTTGTTTTTCAAGCTTAAAACACTAACCAAACTATTTATTCTATAAAAGATCCAAAATAAAAACTAACTTAATTTCAAAAAAATAATTTGATAATGTTGTTACCCATAACAAATACAATATAACAAAATTTTAGATGAAAGTTACAAACATAAACAAGTAAAGGATCCTATAAAATTAGAAGATAGTGGAATAATTCAACAAAAAGATAACAATGAATGTATTTATAATAATAGTCAATAACTAGTCATAACCCGTGCCTGAAGGCACGACAAAATATAAAATTCGAGAGTCCAAAAAATCGAACCCACTATATTAAATTTTTTCAAAATCTATTAACTAAAAATTAATTAACTATTAAATAATTTGATATATAATAGAAATGAGTGGTGTGATAGTTTTAGGGAGGAAATATATAAATGATTAAATATGTGATAGAAATGAGTGATATGATTTGACGTTTGAATTTGACAAAAGGATGATGGGTGAGATAAAAGATTGATGATGGTTTTGAGAGGAAAAATATGATTAGGATAAAATTCAAACACATTTCTATTTTATTATATAGATGTTTTACATGTGATGATACACAAATTAGATATGTACACCACCTGTCAATTGAACAATTATAAATAAAGTAATAAAAATAGAGAGAGATAATAAGTGAGATGCAACAAGAGTTATAGTGATTCGGTTAACGTGACCTACGTCCATTTTAAATGGCTAGGGTCGCCGGGTATTTTATTCTTCAAGTGAGTGAATAGGGAGTAGAGAGTTATGCTCAACAGGGTGTGATTTGCCTCCCAAGTGTTGGTGGAACTTACAATTTATAATCGCCTCTTAATAAATCTAGTGGAGCTGATGACCTCTTCTCAATGAATGAGGTAGTTACAGTGCTCTACATAAGATTCGATCAAATAATGAGGTGGTGATTGACTTCTTCCAAGGCGGCGTAGACCCCTTGGCGAGCTTGACCAAGTGTGGACCATTTTGAGCTGAATCTCTTATAGTTGGACTCTTAGTTTAAATTGGACTTACATCGTGGGCTAGGTCCTTGGACTTGACCCATCAACATGCATAAGTACATTATATTTAATGAGATGTCTTACAATTTGAAAAAAGTAATCCAACACTCTTTTTTGTTTCTTTTCTTTTGACTAACAAAAATTATTTAAAGAAACGTTGTGAAATGATCTATTACTTTTGGCATTGTATTGATTCTCATCCTATAAACTTCTCATCTTTATTTAAAAAAAAAAACAAGAATTTTGGAGAGTTTTTTGCTATTTAAAGCATTGCATGCTTTCTATAACTGTGACAAGTAGAGGTGGTAATTTGTGGTACAAAACTAACAGGTTATGATTAAAATTCTTGTCATGATCAAAGTGAATCGTCTAATCCATTTACAAGTTGAATAGAATCAAACCACTAGTCGTGTTCATTATAATATGAAAAGAGAATTTTATCTAAGAACTCGTCTAACAACGTAATCATGGCATGTGTAACCCACCTAACCATTTTTTTTTTTTTTAACATCATATTGATTTTTCAATATACTTTTCAGTGTACATCTCATCCATCTAACCTATTTAATTAACTCATGAAATCAGCATATCTTGAGACATCTTATTTATTAATGGCAAGTCGTGTTGTGCCACTCCTGTAACAAATGGATCGTATTAAGTTTGAGATAGGGGTGTTTCATCCTACTACGAGTAGGAATTATTATATTTCTTTTTTCTATATGATATTTTGCAAATAAAAATTTCTCTTGACCTACTTTAATTGGTCAGGTGTATTATTTTTACCCGAATTTCATCCAAAATAATCGGGTAGGAAGTCGGATAGGAAATTGGATAAACACATATTTTTTAGTTATTAATTTTTAGATCATTTTAGCAATTTAATTAAGTAACCTACACCAATTAACTTACACAATAAACCAATAACACTAAAGAAAACACAATAAATTGAATAATACATAAACAATTATTATAAAACACAACAAAAAAGTCATAAACATAAATATATCATATATAAGAAAGCCATAAACATCAATAAAACATTAGGGTTTATATATATATATATATGCGGGTAGGGTAGAGTAGAAATACTAAAATTTTGTAGATATTTCGCATTCCTACCCCCTTTTTTGGAGAATATCAAAAAATTTTATGTTGGCCTACCCGATTCTTTTGGGTAGTCGATCAATAAAATTGAGTAGGGTAAGGTAGGGTCAGAGCGGGTAATCAATAATTTAAACACCCTTAGTCAAAGATTTTAACATGAGGTAATTAATTTGTGTTTAGATTGATCACGAAACGAATAATTTTTGCACATTATTACAAGCTTTAAGTGAATAATGCAGAAAGGAACATAAACTTAATATTTAGGTGATGAGATCAACTACAACCAGAATAATAATCGTAACCTAATCCCAGCCTCTAAATAAGAGTTGTTCTCTAATTTGTATGGCCTTTTTAGATGTAGACATTTCAAAACGAGAAGTTAATTATGTCGTATTTGACTGACCAAGTTTTGATATTAATAAGTTCTAACACGCCATGAACTGACACGATTGTTACACCAAATTATGAGCTTTAAACCAATAATGCAGGCTGGACCATAAACATAAAAGACATTACATCCACATGGTTGTAACATAATCTTAAAGATCCACATACATCTTATTGTGGGTGGTCCAGAAATGTGTGATCTGTTGCTGTTTTTTCACAGATTCCCTAGGTTGGAAAAATAAGTTTTAAAATTTTTATTTAATTTATATTATATGTTTTAATGAATCACTTTTTAATTTAGGATTTAATGAAATTTTTATATGATTTAAATGACTGATTATATTTTGTTTTAATTGACCATTTGAATGTCTTTAAGCGGTGGGAGTGAATAGTCGTTGGTCTTTAAATGCCTCTAACGTCGAGTCATTCTCCAGCGGATATAAAAGGAGTTTGCATGACCAAATGTGCAGTAAGATTTTGTAATATATATTATTTTTGGGCAAATCCGATTCAAGTTAAGTTCAAACTTAATCTTTCCGTGAACATAACTCCTAAGGAGGTGTTGTTGTGAGCATATTTAAGTAAAATCTTGGAACTGTATATGTCCATTAGTACATTCACGTGGAAGGCTTAGCTATTTTAGGATAGTGATTACACGCCTCTAAGATATCACATATCAATTCTTTCTAATTTACTATTGTCTATTTTGTGCTATCATAATCACATGCTATTTTATTATATTTTTATGCTTGATTACTAATTGATATATTTAAAATCATGCTGCTTTCCCTAACACCCTACTTGTTTTAAAAACAACCCTACTATTTTATTATATTTTCATGGATAGTTAGTTGCCTTGACGCACTATATGTATACTGTCATCCACCAATTCACTAAATACGGTGTCGTTTGGTATTTTTTAAAAAAAATTAATAAATTCATTAAAAAAAAAACATATATGATTACGGTGTAGTAAAAGATATCTTTATTTGTCTTAGTATAGAAATGTTATACTTGTATATGTGTACTAAAACATCCTATTCAAAACCAATTGGTTACTATTTGATAGGTCTTTTAACCAAACTTTTACCCAAAATCAGGCGGTTTGGAGAACTTATACCCAAAACCAAGTGGTTTTGAAAGTATTTCTCAGACACATATACTTTTAAAATCGTAAATTTGACCGTCTTTAAAATAAAAACATCAGTTTAACTAACACCTTTAAAGTTAAAAAGTCAATCTTTAAGGCAAATGTCAACTAATGGGTCTTTGATCCAATGACACTCATTGTTTTGCAAAAATTTTATTTTCTTGAGATCAATGATTCAAACCCCCTTCTTCCTCCCCCTCCCAAAAAATAAAAAAACAAAATAAGGCAAATGTCAGCGAGAATTACATTTAAAAATGTCATTTGAATTAACGTCCTCATCATTAAAGACGTTAATCCAAATAACATTTTTAGTGATGAAAACGTCAGTTCAAATGACGTTTTCAACTTCTCATTTCCAAACTTTTGTTTATTATATTTTCATAACTCACAAATTAAAATCGTATATATAAATTATTTTCATGTTCTTTGAGACCTAACAATATTTTTTCAACTCTTCAAATGCCGCAAGAGTAGTGTATCTAAATTTTTCTATTAAAATTTC